GTTTCTTAAGCTTTTTAGTTGGAGGTGAACCATCAGACATTTTAATATTTTACTAAGAGAAACAATTGTTAAAGATTTTCACAGATTTTTTTTTAATTTCAATGACATAACATTGTTTAAAAAATATAATTAATCAACAGACATGAGTAAGTATAGTTTTGGAAGTTATTTCATAATTTTTTAGTTTTGAAAAATTCTGAATAAATGGTGGTATATACCTGTTTAGCAGCAAAATTATGCCCAGAATGACTGTAATATTGTGCGAAATTCTTCTTTTTTATTGAATTAATTGATTTTCAGATTGAAAATAATTTTAAAATATAATTACAACTGACTGTACATCAATAATTAATTGACCGGGAAATTGAACAACAACAAAAATAATGATAACGGTTTTGTGGTTAGGTCAGTTGCGTAAAATTATGTTTTGCTCTTTACGTTGCAGCCCGTAGTAGACTGATTTACATTGCACAATATTTTGTAATACATTAAATTATTGAATTTAGTCATTTTGTCCGCTTAGTTACAACCACGATTATGGAATTATCATGAACCAATCACTTTACATGTGAACATGGAGAATTTCTAATTTAAACATAGATTTCGTTTTTTTAATAATAAATCTACGTTTTTTTTATATATTTTATTTAATATATTTTAGGTGATAACAACAAAATGATAACGCGGTGCTGTAATCGACTGCGTATAGACCACGTATATATATATATATATATTAATACATATTTAAATATATAAAATTTTATGAATTTAAATAATTTTTTTTAATGGTTTAATGTATACCTGTGGAATAGATAGACTTTTACACGACGAGCTTTGATTATCCGGCATCAGAGTTTCTTACTCTCCGTCTTATAGCGCGATCTAGTTTTCAATTTAATAGCAATTCGATATTTATTTAAAGGGGTTGATGTCGGCATTTACTAAGGAGTAAAATTTAGGCAATTAAATGTACATGTGTATCGGCCTTGTGCGAATCTTATGCACGTGTGTAAACGTGTAAATCGATATTGGTGTGGGTGAGCTATAAATAGCATGGTATATTGATGGCACGAGCAAGGCCGTCCCAAGGTTTTTCGGGGCTAGGGGCAAATTAATTTGGGGACCCTTCGATCATAATAATAAGATAAAATACTCGCTGAGAATAACAAAATTCTTGCAAATGTGTTTTTTTAAACCTTAACAGATCAAGCTAATTTAAATTCATGTACTGCTTTACAAACTTACACAATAACATTGAATATTATTCATATTATTTATAATTTAATCGCTCAATGAAATCGGAAAAGTCGCTACACGCTCACACGCGGCGCGATCTTAATCGCCGAAATGCAGCGTGTAAAATTGCTCAGTATAATCGAGGCTTTATTATTAATTATTATTCATCAAGACTTTATGGGGGCCCCCTAAAAAATATTCCAACAATGGTGTCTGGAGAAAAATGCCCCCCTCTGAACAGCCCTGGATGAAAGGGGCGTGCATTATATTCTTTATATTTACCGGTTTTATAAGTTACCCGAGCTCCCCTAAATACGTCCTTGCCTTCAACAGTCTATGTTCATAAGTTTTGGAGATTCTAAAAAGTGAATTTGACAACACACGAACACAATAATAACGTGACATTTTTTTTTTTTTAGTTTACTTTTATTAATTATTATAAATTTTAGAATTGTATTAAACAGAAACATAACAAAATAGATAATGACGTCATTCCAAAAAAAACTTTGTTTTTTCAAAGAGAAATTGTCGAATAATTATATACATTATTTTTAAACATAAAATATTTTTGTGTCATTATACCATGATGTTGCTGAGAGTGTTTGGTAATCAGAGAGTAAAAACAATTATTTAGTTTAGATGCACACATGTGTAATTAAAGTACGCGGTGCCGTTGCGTGACCGCAGCAACTTGTGCACATGTTCGTTGTTCTAACGTGCGGTACCGCTGCGAGGCTGTACATAAACTTACCGAACGTGACGTGTCGTTAGTCGCATTTATTTTTTTCGTCGGTAAGGAGGTCTGTAAGAAAAAGACGTACGTATAGAATATATCTATTTGTTTTTTTTTAAATAAAAAAAGAGACGTTACTGAGTATCTATAACCCTACATCGATGATAAGTCTACGAGAGGTGATTTTGTTTTCGTGTTTAAGAAAACATCTAGTGAAGTTTTATAACTACTTCCTTACTTCCGTACGAGTATCGTTTGACGAACTTGCAGACAAAATAATTGATATGATCAAGTCTCAAGATACATGGATGACACGTATCTCCATTGGAAATAATAGCCAAAACCGGCTGCAACACGATTGCGCCCCGATCCCTATTTACCTGATAAAATTACAACACCATTGCACACCAAATAATGATATGTGTATATACCATGTATAATAATTTATGAACAACATGAAATAATGTATACAATACATACTTTCTACATATAATTTTCATATACATGCACACAAACTTATTACCTATTAATTCACAATTTTCCTTCCCAATTATTTCAGGATTAGGACTGTTAACAAATTATCATCGTTGGCTTGGTTAAAAATTGTTTTTTTCTAAAATAAATGTATGCTAAATATATACTGACATGTTCAATAGTCGACATTTTTTTTATTAAAAATTGTTTTTTTTTCTATACTGATAATCATTAGTCAATATTTTATTATAACTTTTATTAGCTCAATCGACTTTTCATTTCGATTTTTAAAAAGTGCATTTTCTGAATTAATAGTTTGAGTGCATGTATATGCAAATTATAGAAAGTATGTATAGTATACATTATTTTATGTTGTACATAAATTATTGTACATAGTATATACATATATAATTTGGTGCGCAATAGTGTTGTGATTTTATCAGATAAAAAAGGATCGGGGCAAAATCGCGTTATAAATTTTTTGCGCAATCGTAGTGTAATTAGTCGGGTCAAAAAAGAAAAAATTGTGCAATCGTGTTGCACCGCAAAAAAACCACGAAAGTCCCAATCCACGGTAATCTTTTTTTCAGATCTTCAGCTCTATTCTATACTTCGGAATGAAGTTTAACTTCACCGATAAACAGTTCCATATCTATTTCATCGATATTGAATAATGTTTTTTTTTTTTTTTGTTGCCATTTTCGTTATTTTAGTAAAAAATTATATCGAAAAAAATGTTGTGGTGCGTGAAAAAACGCACGTCTGCATCACACGATTTACGAAAAAGTACTGTTTGCCGGAGTTGCCAGTTGATAACACGTGTACGGTGAATTTACGGCGAGACGGGAACGTACAGACGAAACAGTACGCACGTGGACGTACGTCACCGCAATGTCAACGAAACGTCTTGAGCATCCGTTTCGTACTTAGTATTTATAATCCGAGTTCGGCGCCGCACGTTAAAAATATCGTATACGGGAGAAAAATCAAAATTCTTACTTTTTTCATCACCGTGTACAGTTTTTAAAACGGTCGTTCTCAGCCGACACTGTCGGCGTACTGTACCGTATACCGTTTCAAAAATCGATAGGGTAAGGGGCTTTACCATACCGGGTAACATTGTATTATTAATTAATTAATTTTGAACATAATGGACTTGTTCAGTGCCATTATATGGTCAAAACGTTCGAAAACCGATGGAATAGTTTATATAGGTTTTATTACTTCACGCTAATTGCCTATTTATATGCGATCTTCTGTCCTTTAAGGTTTTTCGATGAATTTTCAATTTTAATTTTGATTAAAGCAATGGGATCAACTTTCGATTAATAAATTAGCAATAGATTCGGTTTTGATGCTACAACCATTATTTTAAAATATATATATATGTC